ACTTCCACGTCGCTTCCGGTAATGTAGTCCACAAAGGCCATCCACCTGACCCTTGAGGGTTTGTTTTGGGCAGACTTGTTGAAGAAGCTTATTATTGCTTGACAGTCCGTTCTGATGATGATCTCCTTTTTATTAAGAAAATAATTTTTTAACGCCTCCAGAGTTTTCATGACTGCATGCATTTCAGCGTCTATTGTGGACTTGATTGGACTATATTTTCCACTAGCGTAGGCACATATTTTTTCTGTATTTCTGGGGTCATGTTTCTGTTTTTTCCATTTACAGATTCCTCCCCATCCTTCCATGCATCCGTTTGTTTCAAGTATTATGAAACAGTCTTCTGGGGGTACCTCTAGATCTGGGAGATTTTGTACCAGGTTTTTGATGTCTCTAATTAATTTTCAATCCTGTTCGTTTAGCCTTTTCTCTCCAATTGGGCTTGTTTTTTAATATAACGGGCCTAAAAGCCTGCCCAGGTTGGGTATATAGTTTCTTGCATAGTTTAGGATTCCTAACCACGATCTGAGGCCTTTCTTTGTAGTGAGATCTTCTTCTTGATAGCCAATGATCCTTTTGATAATATGGGGTTGTAGCTTGATTCTAGAATTTCCCAAAACTGCCCCGAGAAATTCAATTTCTCTTACCGTAATTTTCATTTTTGAAGGGCTTAAGACTAAGCCATTCTCCTGGCATATCTCCAACATTCGAGCTAGGTGCTGTGCATGGTCTTTTTCATTCTCTGAGAAGACTAGAATATCGTCAATATATACTGCAATGAAATGTCCTGTGCCCCTGAAGCAGGTGTCCATTTTCCTTTAGAACACGACTGGGGCGTTTTTGAGACCAAAGGGCATTGCCAGCCATTCATATAGTCCTTCGGGGACCCAGAATGCGGTCCATTCTATAGAATCCGAGTGCATAGCAACCTGGTGAAAGCCAGATTTTAAATCAAATTTTGAGTAAATTTTACTATTGCTGACCTTCTTAAGGATGGTGTTGATGCCGGGAAGGCTGTATTGATCTTTTTCTGTGATGTCATTAAGCCTCCTGTAGTTGAAAACCATCCTCTCTTTTCCTTTCTTTTCAATTCCTGTTATGGGGTTAATAGTAGTTCCAGAATTGACAATTATAGCAGTAGTTCGGTGCTTACTTTTGCTTGGCCTGATGACCCCGATGTCCAATAACGCTTTCACATGCCTGGAGAAAGCCTCTTTTGCCTGTGGTGTTAGGTGTTTCAGTGGTTTGTCTTCTACCACAAAATCTTGGTTTTTGATCTCCAGTTTGCAAGTTATTTTATTCTTTCCCCAATGTTTTAGGGGATCCTCCCCTATGTACCCTTGGGCTTTCAGCTGGTCCAATAGGCCTCCGAACTTGGCCGTTATATATTTGTCGCTTTGCTGAGCTTCTGCTGAATAAAATACTGCCTCTTGGATCTGGATATAATCGTCTTTCTCTATGTCCAATTATTCTATTGTTGCGGCTGTTGGGATGTAAGGCAGGGTGTTGATAGTTGTTAGGTTTTTATAAAAAGTAACCATGTTACCTTTAATCCTAACTCCTCCTTGTATTGCCCTGATAAAGTTGCATCCGATTATCATCTGGATGTTGTCTCCTAATTCTATTGCGAAGGCATAAGTATAGGGGATTCTGAAGGTATTATCCCCTATTGTCATCTTACCTCCCTTTAATTTCTTGTTCGCAGTCGTCTTCGAGGAAATTCTGCTGAAATGTACTGTGTAGGGATTTGCCTCCATTGCATCGTCTGGTGCAGCGTTCTCGTCTATGCAGCAGGTTGTTGCTCCAGTATCTAATATAGCATTAACTTCGAATGGCGGAATGTTTAGTATTTCTATTTGTACCTTCAGGTTGAATAGCATATTTTTGGCCTTTCTTGGGCCGCTTGCCTCTTTTGTTTTTACTGATAGGACCTTCTGGGTTTCTTCTGCCAATAGAACGAATGCTTCTTCAGATTCTTCTTTGTTTTTTAATTCCAGTATTTCTCTTTGTAAGTCAGCATTTTCCAGTCTTAGTCTTTCGACCTCCATGGCTTCTTGCTCAAGCTGGCTGTATTTTTCTTTCCATTCCTGTACTTCCTATTGCAGGCGTAGGTTTTCTTGTGCTGTGGTAATTGCTTGGATATGCATTTCTTCAAGTTCCTTGGCCTTTTCCTGTCCTGATTCTATGGCCATTTTAAGTTTCCTAATCTCTGCTTCATAATGGTTAATATAATTTTGCTGTTGTTGAAGGAGATTTCTTGGTTCGTACCTGACTGGTTCTTCTTGTGCTACAGGAGTCCTTTTGTCAAAGTAATACATGCTGCACATCCCACATGAGGTGATTTTGCACAAGGGGCAATGCCTCCTGTGTCTTCTTTGAGAGACTCGTTTGCAGTAGTTGCACTTTTCTAGGTTTGCTGATAGGTCCCCGTTGATTTCCCACACATGGTGGCATTCGGCTTGGGTCTGGGAGACTTGGACCCTTGCTTTGTAGCCTGACTCGGGTCCTATCCACCAGGTCCTGCTATCTTCAATTAGTGCAAAAATTTTTTGAGTGAAGGAGTGGATACCATATTCTAGGTTTTCAACGTCTTCTCCTTCAGATATGGAGTAGATGGCATCACTATGGTTTTCTCCTTCCTGTACTGATAGAATCTCGTAGTCTTCAGGAAGCTCAATTTGTTCAAACATCGCTACCCTTTTGATATTCTTTTTATCATTTGGGCATTCCCTTACGAAATGTCCTTCGCCACACAGGTAGCATTTGCACCTTTTATTTCTGATTAGGTGCTTTCTCTTCTCAATCCTGGCATGTGATGAGTGGGGTTTACCTTTATAAGTAGTGGATCTTCGTACCCTAAATTTCCTTTCCAGTTTATTGTAGTATCCTGGGATTGGCATCTCACTGCAGAAAGATAAGTCTTTTAATGCCCTTTTGAATGCAGCATCTTTGCATTCTGCTTCTAAGTATTTGTAGGAGAAAAGAATTCTTGGGATGACCCCTATCGTATTTCCCCTGTATTTAGCTTCGAACGCTCCCTTTATCTTTCTTCCCAACTCTCCAGGCATCTTTGACCATAATTTTTCCGAGAGCTCTGGGCTTGTGAATAACCGTCCTGTCTTGGATGCAAGCCTCATATAATCATTTAGGAATTGTATAATGTGTTTCAGGTTAGTGCAGGATAACCTTTCGAGGTCTCTGTATGCTTCTTCTTGGGCGGTTGTTGATCCCTGAAATGGATCTTCTAAAATAAATATTGTTCTTAGTTGCGAGAGGATATTCTGAGTTCCTCCCGTGCCATCAGCGTTGGCCATCAGAAGTTGGTATTCCTCTGGATACGCTATTCGCCATTGTATCCAGGCTAATTTTTCAGATTCGCCCAGTAGGTTTTCAATAAATTCCATTTTAGCCTGTGGGTCAGTAAATCCTTGAAGGGAAACCAAATTCTTTGTGATAGATTTCCACCTCATGAATACCTCGTCGAACATTCCCAACTAGGATGGGATTATGAACATGGCTCCTTGTTGCTGAAAGGCTGATGGAAGGTTTCTGTTATATTAATTATGCGCATAATCCCAACTAGAAAAGAGTATTTCTCCTGTACATAAATAATACAAACATTAATACAAACATAAATAAATAGGTTTCTGTTACTAATCGATAAATAATACTCGAGCTTTTGCAAATTAATATAAAGATGATAAAAAAAGCATGAACATGGTATGGTGGAAGTCAAATATCATGCTTTTTTCTCCTTAATTCTTTGCTCTTGCTTGTTTTATTCTTGTTGATATATCAAGTTAATATATCCTGGCTACAGAGTTCCTGGTGCATAATACTTTTATGTTGTGAATATCTATATACTATCTGTAAGTAAATATATAAATGATAGATGCAGGTTGTTTGGTGTTTGTAGGAAAAGGAAAGGAAAACTACTTTTCTTCTCTTCTTGCCTATGAAATGCGGGTATAAGGCATAATTACTGCAGAAAGAAGCACTTGAAAGTTATTTTTGTTACATTGGGACAAAAACAATTTTCCAAAATATTTTTCATTTCTTCTAGTATAAAAAGATTATTTTCCAAAGAAATATAACCCTTACTAGTGCATGAAATGCAGAATTCAGACGTACCAAAGAGAAGGACAATTATGGCACCTTTTGGAGTTTGCAACATTATTCCAGGTATGAGCTGTATTTTAATGGTTGTATGCAGCCTCTTCATTTAGTTTCTACAAGACCAAGCTCTTTCAGCAGGGAATGAAAAATAATTCAACTTATAAACAACCCAATCCTTATGTCTCACATCAATAAAGGATTAAACTTTTAAAACGACATGTGGATGAGGACTCCCTTCCATGATAATGATTTTTTTTTAAAAAAAATTGTTATTATCAAATGATATACATAATGTTTATATATGGATTCGAAGTTGAAACCTATTACTCGTTATAATGATATACTAATCAACCTAGATGCCATAATAGAGACCACAAAATAACAATTCAAACATATATTTTTTGAATAAAAATAATTTGGAAAACATTTCACTAATTGCTCATAGTTAGGGGTCTCAAGTTATAAATAGAAAATTCTTTCATGATGATCCAAGTTCTTCTCTCATTTTTATACTGTATACATCACACCTTGGGAATTCTTTGACTCGAGTGTCGAAGAGATCGTTCCAAAAATTTACCTTGCAGTGATCTTCACTTGCAGGTGGGGGTGTGAGAGTTGTGTCTTACTTGGGATGTTTATAATGTCGATTTTCTTTCCTTAAGATCTGTATTGAATTATGATTCTCAGTGCATGTCAAGATTCAAGATTAGGATCAAATTGGATTGTCTCTGTCTCTCCATAATAAGGATCAATGATAGGGACGAACAATTATCATCATATATTGATTATTATCTTAATATCTTTGGGCTTATAAACTAAAAGATATTAAAGGATTTGACTCTTGTTTGAACATACTTAAAACTCAATCCCAATTCTCCAACTCGTAAAAAGAGAGGTCTCCCACTTCCCTATCCTTTGCCGTCGCCACAACAGTCGTCGGATTCCCCTTCACATCCGTGGGTTCAGAAGCCGTGCAAACACAGAGACAAGAGTTAAATAGAAGGCCATTCATGTCAATCTCCTTTTGCTGTTTGGGCCTGACTGAAGGAAGGTGACAGAGAATAGGGTAAATTGCTTGCCGTCACGGATCTGAATCATGTTGAGATCGAAGTCGATTGGTTATTTTATATTTTATAAAAGATAATGCAAACTCTTGGATGGTTCCTATCAAACTGGATCGATCAACTGAAATATTGGGAACGTAGATTGTATCTGAGACGAGTGCTTTTTGTTTTCTCCCACACTCAAGACACTAGAATCATAATGTTTATGTTTTGTTCCGACCATAGCATCGATGTGAGATTGGTAAATCCTTCAATGATCTAAGTTAGAACGTAGCCAAATTAATGATCAAGATGAAGTGGAGAATACAAAGGCCAAAGAGCTTGAATCCTCTTAATTAGTTTGTGAAGACCCTTTGTCAATAGCGTCGGAGTTGTAGCGATAGAACCATTAGTGAAAAAAAAATCAAATAAATATAGAGAATATTCTCTATTTCGACACAAATCATGTCATTTTTGATTCGATGGTAATGAGTCAATTGGGCTATTTTCTTGATATGATAGTTGATTTGGGTAAACGTGACGATCTCCATAGTCATCCAAATGATGAGTCGAGTTGCCACGGTATCCATCGAGTTATCGTGATGTTGTGATCACCGAGTTATCAGAACGGTGGTGTGTCGGTGCAACTAAGCCAAATTGCCATGGATGATTTATCGGTCGAGTCAACCCAAAGTTGAAACGGTGTCCATAAAGCTAACTCGGTGACGTACGTGTCAACTGAAACGAGTCGGGTTCGATTTTCCACAGGTGTCCATTAAGCTATTGTCCTTACCTACATGTTAGCTTTTCTCCGTTGGTGAAGGACTGTTTTCTCCGCATCAAACCAAAAGCAGGTCCGTAGGGAGGGAGAGAGAGATGACGGGGGCTGAGGGCAGCAGAAATACGATCGACCTCGGGCTCCGCTTACTTCTTGTCTGACCCTCGCCGATGGCGTGACTGCTGCCATCTTGTGATGATGGCTGGTCGGACAAAATGACCCTAAAAGCATTGCAGTCATGCAAAAGAGTCCACCACTGCCTTTGACAACCCTTGGATGGATTGATGGATTGAATGATAAGATCGATGGATGGATAGGTCGGGGGATGAATGAATGGATTATTCATTCCAAAAGCCCACCACCCAATCTGCAAGCCTACATCGATCGCCACCTTCCTCGAGAAGCAAGACTAATGCTTCAACTTGTTGCATCTTAATGGCTCAAATGGACCAACGATAATAGTCTTCTACACTTGTCCTTTAGAAAATCTATCTTATATAAATCACCCCAATTATTAGTATTGCCTCTAGCTAGTGTCTGGATCCAACCTGCTCCAGGGTTTTGAATCTCGAATTAGCTAGCATGCACAACCTACAAAAGAAAAATAAAAGTCGTATTGGATAATTTTGGACATCAAATCTTTGGATGTTTGAATCAGTAAAAACTCCTGAAATTTTATTTTTATAAACAGGAGTTTGACATTGAAGTGTTTGTCGATGAACAAACCACACTCGATCGTGGCGCTGCCGACTCGAGGGCAGGTTGACTACGACACAGAAGCTGACGCGAGAGCGTGCTCGAGTATCAATCAACATGGGATTCCCTGTGTCTGCGTGGACAGTGACGTGTTTGGGATGTCCAAATCAACCACCAACAAGTGGCTCCTTATTGGCATTTCTTTTTGCATTCTTGCTATCTTTGCTTTGAGAACTCAATGAAAGCAATCCATTTTGCCAAAGATTCTTTGACTTGGTTTGCTAATTGCTTCACTGCATGTCCAGAATAAAGTCGATAATAGGGAAAAAGATATTGTATGTACATAAATATAAAAGGCACTATCGGTCCAAATATCCGATCCTACTTTTCTTTTCCATCTTTCTCTATATAGTCTGCAAGTGCTAAACATTTCAGCTTCCGGTTTGACGAATTCCATTAAACAAAAAGTAACTCCTCCAACCAAACTCTGAAAGCCAATAAATGAAAGGAATATAGAGTTGGATGCTGTCGACTCTGTGAAAGCTGAGTACAGTGAGCTCAAGCGGTGGCACCCAAAGATGCATAGAGGGGAAGTACCTACCGACCCGAGCACTGGTAAACCACAGTGTAAATTCCCAAAAAGACGAAGGGAACCACTCAACAACGTAATGGGTGAATTGGTCTGGTTAGGATGGAAAGATATCCACGTAAAGCCACGCAGATTATGTGATTGCATGGCCCATTCTATTTCTATTAGACAGCTACTTCCATTAACCTACTTGTTTGGTAGCTACCCACCAGTGATGCTGCTTTGCATTGGAGGATTGGGGGGGGTGGGGGTGGGGGGGGGGTGGGGGGGGAGAGGGGTGTCAATTCCTCCCACGTCGCCGTGATGCTTGTGGGAAACGCAACAGATCCTGCAAACCAAAGTGCAACCATTACAAGGGAGGTGAGAGATAGGGGGGAGGGGGGAGGAGGGGGAGGAGTGTTGAGTCCTTTCCAGTTGCCACTTTCTTTGGCACTCCTTGGACTGTGGTGTTTCCCTGAAGGGGAAGGTTCTCTCGTACCTCTCTCTCACTCTCTTGCTTGCTTTAGTGTTTTGCCGCTTTGCAGGTGGTGGTGAGGTGATCCATGGATGTGTTTTGGCAAGTGGCCGAGGTCAGGTGGGAGTAAAAGTCTTAAGGTTTTTGGGCCTCCTGGATTGCGATGTATAACTGTTGCTCTTCTTCCACTTCAGACACTGACATCTCTCTCTCCTCTCTCTCATCGACACCCTCATCCTGCTCCTATATTTATGCCCTCATCCCTCAGCTTCTCTCAAGCTTCTCTTCCTCTATGGCTTCATAAACTCCCTCTTCATGCCTTCTATGAGCTACAGTTTCATCCTTCCTTTGTGGATCTATTCCTTCATATTAGCTGAGTTTAGGATCAGCTCATGGAGAGGAAATGTTGTGGAACACAGGAAGCTGCAGTCATTGTTTGCTGGTGTGGCATCATCAAGATTCACAAACTCACACTAGAAGAAGAAGCTCAAGGGAAGTTTCTTTTGAATTCTGAGAATCTTGATGATGCTGCATTGGCAATCAAATGACTTACTACTTTTGATGAAGCTGAAGCTGAAGAACACTGGGTGTGTGCAGGTATACACCTCCAAAACCCTAACTTCCTCTCTCTCTCTCTCTCTCTCTCTCTCTCTCT